AATTCAGCAAAGTCTCAGGATACAAAATCAATACACACAAATCTGTGGCATTCATATACTCCAATAAAGTCAAGTGGAAATACAGATCAAAAATCCAATACCTTTTACAGTAGCCTCAAAGAAAATTAAATATCTAGGAATATATTTAATGAAACGTGAGAGACTTATACAGGGAGAACTATGAAACACTGAAAAATGATATTGTAGAAGATGTAAAGAGATGGAAAAACCTACCTTGCTCATGGATTGGTAGAATCAATGTTGTTAACATGTCCATACTACCTAAAGTGATCTCCAGAACTAATGCAATCCCTATCAAAATCCCGTCATCATCCTTTACATATCTGGAAAAAATAATTCTACACTTTGTATGGAACCAGAAAAGACCTCGTATAGCCAAAGCACTCTTAAGTAAAAAGAAGAAACTCGGAGGTATCAGTCTACCAGACTTCAAGCTGTACTACCAGGGTATAGTAACTAAAACAGCATGGTACTGGCACAAGAACAGAGACATTGACCTCTGGAACAGGACTGAGAATCCAGAGATGAAACCATCCACATGTGGTAGTCTAATCTTTGACAAAGCTGACAAAAATATACACTGGGGAAAAGAAACTCTTTTCAATAAATGGTGTTGGAAAAACTGGATAGCTACATGCAGAAGAATGAAACTGGATCCCCACCTCTCACCTCTGACAAAAATTAATTCAAGATGGATAATAGACTTAAACCTAAGGCATGAAACCTTAAGAATTCTAAAAGAAGATGTTGGGAAGACCCTTTCAGACATTGGCCTAGGCAAGGAATTCTTCAAGATGACCCCCCAAAGCAATCACCACAGCAACAAAAATAAATAAATGAAATCTGATCAAATTAAAAAGTTTCTGTACTGCCAAGGAAACTATCATTTCAGCGAATAGACAGCCCACAGAATAGAAAATATTTGCTCTCTACACATGTGATAAAGAGCTGATAACCAGAATCTATCTAGAACTCAAAAAAATCAACAAGAAAAAAATCAAACAACCCCATCAACAAATGGACAAAGGAAATGAACAGAAATTTTTCAAAAGAAGACAGAATAATGGCCAGCAAACATATAAAAAATGCTCAACATCTCTAATCATTAGAGAAATGAAAATCAAAACCACAGTGAGATATCACCTAACCCCAGTGAGATTGGTCTCTATCAAAAAACCCCCAAAACCAAATGCTGGCGAGGATGCGGAGAGACAAGAACACTCTTACACTGCTGGTGGGACTGCAAATTAGTGCAACCTCTGGAAAAGAATTTGGAGATACCTCAAAGAGCTAAAAATAGAAATACCATTCGATCCAGCAATAGTTCTATTAGGCGTCTACCCAAAAGAGCACAAAACATTCTATGATAAAGACATCTGCACCCGAATGTTTATGGCAGCACAATTCACTCTTGCAAGGATGTGGAAACAACTCACGTCCCTGTCAATTCATGAGTGGATTATTAAAATTTATATGTACATATGTATACAATGGAATATTTCTCAATCATAAGAAATGACAGTGATCTAGAACCTCTTATACTTTCCTAGATTAAACTTAAGCCCATCATCCAAAGTGAGGCACCACAAGATCGGAAGAATGGGCTCCACTTGTCCTTGTCATCAAATTGGTACTAACTCATCAACACTAGGGTGCTCACATGGCAGTAATACTCTCCAGGGATTAGGGGGATGGGGGGGGTAAACCCGCAACTAAAGGACACGGGGAGCATTGTATAGGGGAAGGGCATGCCTTTAACCCTTGCTTGGGTGAGGCAAAGACATAAAGTGTAACCAAAATGTGTGTACCCTCATAATACCCTGAAATAAAAAAAAAAAACAACAATTCAAAAAAAAAAAGCAAAAAAAAGCACCCCTGTAGTTTCCTCAGTTTTCCTGACAGCCTTTACCACTGCTGGTTAAAATGGATAACTTTGACATTTAAACCAGACTATCGTTACTCTTTCAAAAAAAAGAAGACAGGAGTGATGAGTGTTCCTGAGATTGAAATTAAATAGCAAGGGCCTTGATAAGGATTTATCAGAGGGTAGAAAAACTGCTGATGTTGAATTCTTAAGTGCCCATGCAATTCTTTGTAGTTATATTTATGAGCCATGCTCAGAGATTATACACTTTTCAACTTAGCATAGTAGACAGCTATGTTTTTAATCTATGGGTACCTGAAATGACTTGAGAGAGACTGTGGAACATGATGCGTGCCCACCAAGGGTTAAATCCAGTAAATCCTGGGAGAGATCATTTCTTTTGCACTAGGCATTCGGTGGAGGATGCTGATGAGTACCTGATTTTTTTTTTTTAAACATTTTCCACATCTGTACAACATTAAGGAATAGAACTTGGTATAACTGCTTTGTTTTTAAAGTTTTTATTCAGAATGTATTTTTCACTGGGAATTTAAAATATTTATAGAAGATTGATAATGCTACAAGTTCTTGCAAATATAATGAAATATTCCAAGAGTATTCAAATTACCAATAAGCAGATTTGATGTCTTCGACAGAGATCAGATATAAATACACACATATATACATGTGCAAATAGATTTATGCTGTATATATTTTTTCATAGCTTGGTTTCCTTTTCAACTGAAAGATTGATAGGTGATAGTGTATTTCCCCCTGTGTCATCCTTTGCATTTTCATACACATTTCAGAGTCAGTTTATTGATTTCCACGAGAGTTTATTAGGATTTTGATTGGGATTGCATAGAATCTAATGATCAATTTGGGGATAATCTGTATTTTTACACTATTGAGTCTTCTAATTCATTAATATGTATATTTTTATTTATTAGGCTTTTAATGTCTCTAATGTCTTATATTTTTCTGTGTAGGGATCTTCCGTATGTCTCATTAGATTTATTTTTAGTTACTTGGAATTTTTTGATTTTGTTATAGATGATACATTTCATTTCATTTATTTTATATTTATTTATTTAATTTGTGTATTTTTCGAGATGGAGCCTTGCTCTGTCACCTGGCCTAGAGTGCCGTGGCGTCAGCCTAACTCACAACAACTTCAAACTCCTGGGCTCAAGTGATTCTCCTGCCTCAGCCTCCCAAGTAGCTGGGATTGTAGGCACACGCCCTCATGCCGGGATAATTTTTCTATTTTTAGTAGAGACAGGGTCTTGCTCTTGCTCAGGCTGGTCTCGAACTCCTGACCTCAGGCCATCCTCCCACCTTGGCCTCCCAAAGTGCTAGGATTACAGGCCTGAGCCACCATGCCCAGCCGTGATGGTACATTTTAAAAACATTTTTAATTTATTTTCTAATTGCTTGTTGGTGTATAGACTTAAAAAAGTTAACCTTGTGTCTAATGACCTTGCTACATTTATGTATTTGTTGTAGTAGTTTATGTCCAGATTGTTTTGAATTCTTTACACACACAATCAGCAGTTTTATTTCTTCATTTCCAATCATAATACCTTTAATTTTTTTCTGCCTTATTTGCACTGGCTGGCCCTCCAGTACAATGCTGAATAAAAATGGTAATAGTCGGTATCCTCCTCATGTTCTTAACCTTAGCGATAAAATTTCAGTACTTCACTAATATGCATGATGTTTGCTGTAGACACATTGGAGATACCCTTTATCAAATTAAGGAAATCCCCTTCTAATCTTAGTTTTTTAAGATTTTTTGGTCATGAGTGGACACTGAATTTTACCAGATTTTTTTTTGTACCTACAGAGATGATCCTATGATTTTTTTCACTTCATTGATTTTTCTAATATTAAACCAATCTTGCATTCCTGGAATAAACCCAAATTGGTCACGATGCATCCATCATCCTTTTTATAAATAGTTGGATTTGATTTCTTTTTATTTTTTAAAAATTTTTATATATGTTCTTGAGCGAGATTGGCCTATTAATTTTCTTTTCTTATAATGTCGTTATCAGGTTTTACTGTCTTACTGAGTTCAAAATGAATTCCTTCTTCCCTATTCCTTGGAAGAGTTTATGATTGGTGTTATTTCTTTAGCTGTTTGGAAAAATTCACTGGTAAAGTCATTGGAACCTGGTATTTCATTTATGGGAAGATTTTAATTACAGATTCACTCTTCTTTAATAAGTATATGACTATTCATGTTTTAAGCTTTTCCACCAGTTTTTGTAAGTTTTGTCTTTCTATAAATTTGTCCATCTTGTCTAAATTTTCAAATTAGTTGGTATAAGCTTTTTAAAAATCTTTTATGGTGTTTTTAATGTTTTGATTGCTGATATTGATAATTTGTACCTTTTCTCTTTTTTTCCTTATCAGTCGTCTTGCTAGTTGTCCATCAGTGTTAGTGTTTTCAAAGAACCAATTTTAGATGATAAGGCTTGATATATGGTAGTATAAGTTCTTTAAACATGACAAAGCTGTTCTTTATTCTTTATATTCTTTTTAAATTCTTTATATTCTTAATGTAAATTTTGGAATCTGTTTATTAATTTCCTAAAAAAAGACATGGGATTTTGATTGTTAGCTATAGATTTTTCTCTGTTGTACTTTTGCTTTCTATTTCATTAATTTCTGTTCTGATTTTTATTATGAGGATTCTGTTTCTCAAGGCATAGTCAAATTTGATGACTATTTTAAAAATTATCTGTTTGTTTATAATACATAAGAAGCTCCTAGTGTTAATTTTTTCTTAAGTAATTGATACAGACTTGCCCCAAAAGGACACATGAACACAAGTTATGCAGAGGGACAGAGAAGCTCTTTTCAGAAATGTTTTCATACACACACACACCACTCAGGAATAGTAATTTTGCCACAGTGTACTTCATTTTCCTAAACTATTTAATATTACCTTTCAAAATATAGATTAAGTTAAAAGGAGTTTTACACATTAGAGAAATTATTAAAGAAGGGAGAGTATATATTTAAGAAAATTTAGTGCTTAATTCAGTGACTGTGACCCTGTCTCAGTATTTAGAAATGCTAATTGATGTGTTTATCCTTGCTTTTCTAGTGATTTGCAGCTTTCGAGGATCTGTGCCTCAAGGGTTGGTCTTAGAAATAGGAGAAACAGTCCAGATTCTTGAAAAATGTGAAGGTAAGTATGGACCTATAAAGCGCATAAATAGTGATGATTTCTATCATTATATACATTTATTTTGTGCTAATAAGATTATAAATAGTAATTTTAAAGCCATAATTAATCACATTATGAAAGTGTTATATGAAATCCTTCCTGATCTATGTTCAGCATAAAGGTCTGAGCTTTTTTGACTCCAGTCTAATAGTAGCAAGTAGATAATTAATTGTTCTCTGTCAGAACATGACTTTTACATGCATGTCAAGTGATTATTTTTGATTTTTTACAAATAGGTAATATTCTACTCATGCTTAGCTGCATTCAAATGGAATCAAATTGTAATCCATTCATTTGTATGTTTCTGCCTAATTGGTTGGACATCTTTAGTCATAATTAAGACCTTAAATATACTCAAAGTTCGGCTTGACTGCTATCCTTTTCTGTGACATATATGGATATTTCTGCTGTAACATTTATGCATTCTTGAGATATATCATGTTCTTCAAAATCACATACTTACCAAGATTTATGGGGAAAATAAATTCAGAGAGAAATCACACAAAATCAGAGCATTAACAAAAACAAAATTAATACCATGGAAAATAACTTGAGAAGCCTAGACTAGCAGTTCAGCATAACTAGAAGCCATCTCAGACGGTAGAATGGAGTGGAACTGTTGTGATGTGGGTATGGAGACAGTGCATGTGGGAGTGGAGTGCTGATTCATTGGCCTACTGTTAAGATGGCTATGGGAATAAGTTTAACCTACCATGACCCAGGAACTATCTAAGTTTAGGAGTGTACTTTTCTGGAAAGAAAGTGCTAGTACAGCATTCATTTTAAATTTTCTTAAAACCTAAGTATAGGCCGGGCATGGTGGCTCACGCCTGTAATCCTAGCACTCTGGGAGGCCGAGGCGGGTGGATTGTTTGAGCTCAGGAGTTCGAGACCAGCCTGGGCAAGAGCGAGACCCCGTCTCTACCAAAAATAGAAAGAAATTAATTGGACAACTAAAAAATACATAGAAAAAATTAGCCGGGCATGGTGGCGCATGCCTGTAGTCCCAGCTACTTGGGAGGCTGAGGCAGTAGGATCGCTTGAGCCCAGGAGTTTGAGGTTGCTGTGAGCTAGGCTGACGCCACGGCACTCACTCTAGCCAGGGCAACACAGTGAGACTCTGTCTCAAAAAAAAAAAAAAAAAAAAACCTAAGTATAAATCAGAACCCATTCATGATAAAAAAACACTCTTAGCAAAAAAAAATAGAGCATAGTTTTCTTAGTTGGGCATGGTGGCTCACACCTATAAACTCAGCTACTTGGGAGGCTTAGGCAGGAGGATTGCTTGAGCTCAGGAATTTGAGACCAGCCTGGGCAACAAAATGAGACTTCGCCTCTTAAAAAAAAAAAAAAGGTAAATAAAGGATATCTACTAAAAAGCCTACAGCAAACATCATATGCAGTTGTAAAATATTGAAAGAGATTTCCCAGTGAGGCTGGGTAATTTATAAAGAAAAGAGGTTTATTTGGCATGGTTCTGCAGGCTCTGAAAGAAGCATGATGCCAGGATTTGCTTCTGGTTAGGGCTTCAGACTGCTTTCACTCGTGGTGGAATGTGAGGGGGAGCTGGCATGTGCAGATACACGTGAGAGGGAAAGGAAGAGAGAGAGGAGAGGTGCCCGACTTTTTTAAACAATCAGCTCTCTTGGGAACTGGCAGAGTGAGAACTCAATTATCCCCCACCTCTCCAGGGAGGATGTTAATCCATGAGAGATCTGCCCCCATGACCCAAATACCTCCCATTAGGTTCCACCTCCAACATTGGGGAACAAATTACAGCATGAGATTTGAGAGGACAAATATCCAAACTGTAGCATTTGCTGTAACTATGTTTATTGGACATTGTATTGGAGGTACTTGCTAGTGTAGTAAGGTAAGAAACATACAGAATGAAAAGGAAAAATTGAAACTATCATTTGTATATGATATGATTGTATAAAATATCCAGTAGAATCTGTAGGAAAAACTATGGGAATAAATAAGGGAATTTAGCAGGTTTGATGGCTACAGTATTTTAAAAATACATTATCTTTCTCTGTTTGCAAAAAAGAAGTAGAAAATGAATTAAAGAAATAATGCTATTTATAATAGTATCAAAAACATCAAATGCCAAGGAATAAATCTAATATAAAGTATAAGACATCTATGTTAAAAACTATAAAAATATTATTGATAGAAATTAAAGAAAATCTAAAATATGGAGAGATTTATCATGTTTATGGATTGAAAGACTATTATAAAGATGTCAACTCTCCCCAAATTCATCTAAAGATTAATGCAATCCTAATAAAAATCCAGCAGGGCCGGGCGCGGTGGCTCACGCCTGTAACCCTAGCTCTCTGGGAGGCCGAGGCGGGCGGATTGTTTGAGCTCAGGAGTTCGAAACCAGCCTGAGCAAGAGTGAGGCCCCGTCTCTACCAAAAAATAGAAAGAAATGATCTGGACAACTAAAAATATATATATAGAGAAAAAATTAGCCGGGCATGGTGGCGCATGCCTGTAGTCCCAGCTCCTCGGGAGGCTGAGGCAGAAGGATTGCTTGAGCCTAGGAGTGTGAGGTTGCTGTGAGCTAGGCTGACGCCATGGCACTCACTCTAGGGCAACAAAGTGAGACTGTGTCCCAAAAAAAAAAAAAAAATCCAGCAGGTTTTTTTCAGTATGGAAATTGAATAGCTGATTCTGACATTTATGTGAAAATGTGAAAAGTTATAAAGAGCACGACAATCTTGAAGAAGATAAAGCTAGAGGATTTACACTACCAGTTATCAAGATTTATTATACTTTAGGACATTGTGGTTTGGGGGCAAAGACAGACTAATCAAACAGAACAGAGGGGCCAGAAACAGACCCTGTAGAGCCATATTTATGGATTAGCTCTGGCTCACTCATGCCTTTTCACAAGTTTCTCTGTCACCCGGTAGGTTGCTCCTATAGGCCAGCTCCAACCCATGCCCTCTGGCAAGTTTTGCCACCACGAGCAGGCTGCATGTTCCTATGGCAGCCATACTCTTTCCCAGAGATTCTGAATCTTAGCCTTGAAGGGGGAACGGGAAGGGGTTCTTTTAAGTTCTTAGTTTCTTGCTTGTCTACTCTATGGTTGTATATCATCCACTGATTATGAGAGAGGTGATAACTGCAGTGCACTGGAGAAATGAAGTCCTTTACAAAAAGTGATGCTAGGCCAATTGAAATAAAAAATGATGACCTGTTTAATAAATAGTACTGGGCTAATATGGAAAGCGATGAATCTTGATCCCTACCTCACAAAATACACTCCAAACTCAATTCCAGATGGATGGTAGAGCCAAAGTGATTCACCTTGAAGGAAGCATAGGGAAATATTCTTCTTGACCTTGGGATAGACAAAAATCTTTTATAAGGATGCAAAAAGCACTAACCATAAAGGAAAAGATTGATAAGTTATACTTTATTAAAATGAAGATTTTCTTTTGTTCAAAAGATGTCATTAAGGAGAGGGAAAAGACAAATCACAGAGTGAGAGAGTTATTTGACAAAAGAATTCATATTCAGAGTATATAAAGAACTACTACAAGTAAAAAATTGAAAGGTAATCTAATAGAGGAACAGGCAGAAGGCCTGAATAGGCTCCTCATGAAACAGATATCCTAGTGGCTCAAAAATATATGGAAAGGTGCATAATCTCAGTCATCAGGGAAATGCATATTAAAACTACAATGAGATACCACCAAACTGCCACTAGAATGATGAAAAATGAAAACACTGGCAATATCAAATGCTAGTGTGGATATGGATCAACTGTTACTCTTGTACTTTGCTAATGGGAGGGAAAATGGTATTACCATTTTGGAAAACTCTTTGGCATTATTTATTAAAGCTGAATGTACAAGCACCTTGTGATTTAGCAAGTCTACTCATAAGTATAAACCCAACTGCAAAATATCTGTATAAAATGTTAGTAGCAGCTTTATTCATAATAGCCCCGAACTGGAGAAAACGAAAATGTTCATCAGCAGTAGAATGGGTGAATAAATTGTGGTATATTCATATAATTCAATGTGATACAGAAAGAAAATGAGTGAATTATTGCTATGCACAATACACGTGACTATTACAGACATATTCTCGTAGAAAGAAGCCAGATATAAGAGTTCATGATGTTATAGTTTTATCTACATAAAGTACAGAATCAGGTAAAACTAATAGATGGTGATGTTTGTCAGAACGGTTATCTTTTAAAGGGGGTGTGTGTTGATGAGTGGAGGAGGTACACATGGCATTTGGGATACTGCTAATGTTTTATACATCTGGATGGTGGGCATACAGGAATGTTTACTCATTGAAAATTTATTTAGCTGTACATTAATAGTTTTCACACTTATGGATGTTACATATTAATAAAACGTTTACTTGAGAAATAAAATAACTTTGTAAAAAATTGTTGAAGGTACAACAGTATAGATGAATCTAAGAATATTATATTAAACAAAAGAACCAGAATAAAAAGATTACATTCTTTATGATTCTATTTATATAAACTTCAAGAACAAGCAGCACTACAGATCTATGGTGATAGAAACCAGAACAGTAGTTGCCTCTGGGAGAGGATTGACTGGAAAAAGGTATAAGATGATTGAAAAGTTCTGTCTGGATGAAGTGTGGGTTACATGGATATCACATTTGTCAAAGCTTATAATACTGTATGTTCATTATCTGTGTATTTCACTGTATGTAAGTTGTGCATCAATAAACTAGATTAATGGTTTAAAATGGATAAAAAGAATATGTATAATCTCTTACCAGTAAGAATAAATAATAGGTAAATAGAAAAATGAAGACAAATATGATCAGGGATTCACAGAAATGCTCAGTCTTGTTAGTAGTCAAGGAATAGAGTTAAAACCAGAATGATGAGTGATTTCACACATATTAGTTAGAGAAGACTGAAATATCTGACATATCCAAATGTTATCACAGATATG